TACCGATCATCCAAAAGGAAAGTAATATTAATTTGAACAATGACATTTAATGTATTATATACCATTTGTATTGTATAAATCTAAAGAACCAGTAACAAGTATTATACTTCAGCTTCTGGGTAATTACCTCCATCTCGATCAGGTTTTTGTCCTGTTTCCCTGATCCATGAGCAAATACTGAAATATCCCCTTGTTTTGCTTCTGGACATAACTGTAACTTCAAATTAACTTCCCCCAAAGCATGTCACAAACAGTTTTTAACTGTTTTTTGACGTAAATAAAATAAATAGACAGACGGACGGACGGGCAGACGTTTTTAAAAGAACCACTTTTTCGGTATCAGGGAACCCCAAAACGTGTATTTCTGTTGAAATCTCGAAATCGATTTCTGCAACATTACATAACTTTCCCTACACTACGTATATTACTCCGTATACGGGAAAGTAAAAATATATCTTCAATATTGTAGTTTTAGGAAAACGCCGAAATTTTTTTAGATTAGCAATATTTTTTTTAAAAAATGAGTAATTTTTGTGCAAATTTCAAAAATGTTATCAAAATAGCCCTCAAAACCAAAATATCTGTTTTAAATTCATGGGGCCGAGACATGAGTCAGATCGATCGGGACTATCAATGTTGATGAAAATCCTTACTGACACACGTTTTGCGTCAATCGATTTTTCGGTTTTAAAAGCACATAAAACAAGGATTCTGACTTCATAACTTGTTAGAGGAAGAAATTTACTATATATAGGAACGATATTTATCCATTTTTGCATTGTTAGTAAGAGTAGTTTCGAAAAATAGCATTACAATACTTTCTTTACAATGCATAAGCAGTACGCTAAGAAGTAAAAGTGCGTGAAATATCTTAAATTTTCTGAATTGTACGCTAAGAGGTAAGGCGGTATTTATATTTTTGAGGTTTGTACTCCCTCCCCACTAGGCCAAGGTTCTTCTGAATCTAAACAATTGATTTGATATTACCGAGATAACGTGATGGCGTGTTTGTTATCGTAGAGCTCGTCATTGTCTACCACCATTGTCCGTGCAGGTAACGTGTTATCTGGGGTTAAAGGTCGGTAGGTATACAGTAAAAATGTCTAACTGCGCTTAAGCGTATCAGAAAAAATATGCCCTACAGTAATGGTGCACGTTTAGCAGGCAGCCGAAGACAATTATTGCATTAAATCGGCGTCGTGAGCCGAATTGCTTAACATACGCTCTGTGAAGTCATGGAGTTTAAGCAACAGAAGGCACAACGTATTCCTGGATGGGTGACCATCTGGAAACCCAAGTTACTAGCGGCGTCGAGTCCCCGGTAGTAGGGATAAAAGGCAAAGACTAACTCCGACATTACAAATGACTAACTCCGACACAAGACAAAATTTAACGGCGGATTTCTCTGTAAATGTAAATAGTACGTTTAGGAGGGAAAATATGGTGAAGGCACGTGGTTGCAAAAAACGCACAACATAATTTTAAAAAAGCCTAATGTTTAATAGAGTAAAGCTAAAATTACATCAAAACTAAATATGAACTAAACGTCTTTTAGCTAAATCTGTACGAGCTAAAACGACTATCAGTTGAATCTTGAGATATGAAGTGAACCCTGAAATAACACTTCCTGATTTTGAGTACCGTGAGAACCTCTTTCCCTTAAGCTCAAGTGAAGTGCTCAAGTGAATCTCTTTTCCATTTCGCCCAATTAATTGGAAAAATAGTAGAAAACAATGGCCTAAAAGAAGAGGCATGTAATATTATAAGCGACAAGAAGCGTGTAAAGAGAAATTAACATGAGGTGAGACAGTTCTTGGGACTGACCTTTGAAACTTACTGATATCGATGATATTTTCGAATGTTTGTACGAAAACCTGTGACGAAGTAGAACTAATAGCCAGCTACATTAATAGAAACTGGTTAAGATTATGCCTAGAAGAGGAAGACAAACAATACCGCCAAGTTTCCCGACTGACATTTATAATCTTTATTTAATGGTTTGAAGAGATTTTAGGGAACAATTAATAACATCAACAGATGGCATAGCAAATTCCAGACTTATTCTAGACAGAAAAATTACGACTCATCATGCAAGCATATGAAAATTTATAACTGTAGGATCAAAAAGAGCTCGTTATCATTCTTCTGGCAGGACATTCAAGATTAAACAAGAGGTTCTATAGCAGCACATACTTTCTCGCATTAGTGACGGTTACGAAGCTAACAATACCGTAATTTCCGTTCATATTAACACATTTCAGCCATCAACGCATTACCAATCGTAGCGCATTATGTGCGAAAACTAATTCATTTGAAGTCAACACGAAGTCGAAAATCCAAAAATTTAATACCAGAATTATCATTGCCCAAGAATGGGAAGTAATTCTGAGAAACTTAAACAGCCGTGTCGCGGCGATGCCATTGTGTTGCTCTTATATCTCGTCTATAAACACTCTCAGTGCGGAAAGTTCGTGAAAGCAAAGCAAGCTCAGGAATTACGAATTTGCAATTTCGATGATTAGCAAAAAACCTTCCAAATTACTAGTATTTTCAAAAATATCGATCATAAACCTATTTAAAACGTAATTTTAAGTTACAGATTTACTTTTCAAATAATAAAAATAATAAATAATAAAAAAGTATAAAAATATTGTAGTTTTGGAATGTTATTTTTTTTTGCAATTTTTCAAAATACAGATAGCTCATTGGAAATGGTACCTATACCACATTTTAAAGCGTAGTTCGCCCTTTTCGAGTCAAAAAAATTTAAAAAATGGAGCCATTTTTGAGAAAGTAATTGTTTAGAAATGACCAATATTTCACGTAAAATTACAAGGAAACTACTAATATTTGCGAAAGATGTGTTTGTACACGATCATATTAAAAGATCTGTCTCCGAATACTAGATTTTGATTTGGATGAATGATTATTCTGAATGGGGGTCATTGACCCGGAAGGTGAAGAACATCACTAGTTGCCTTGCATGAGAGTATCGTCGTAATACAGAGGGACTCGGATTGTCCTCCATGCACCAACACAGAACACTCGTACCGTCAGTGGCTCAGGACATCAGCTGATGTCAACGCAGCCCCTCTGGCCGGGAGGTCCTTGGTTCGAGTCCCGAGAGTGGAAGGATTTTCGACATTAGCTAAGGTCAAGTTCTGTCGCTGAGTGGAAGAGAATTCTAATGGCCGGCTGTCTGATCGGTAGTTTTCCGTGGTTTCTCCGGAGCAGTACCCTAACAAACGGGCCACGGACGGCGCGATCTCACCTTCCTCTTCCTGGTCCTATCCTCGCACAATTATACTAACATGCACTACACTACCACACATACCGGGAGCCCCGTCAGGCGGTAAGAGCGTGTTTCGGCTGGGGCGGTGCCCCGCTGGTGGGAGACACCTGGTTACGGAAAACCACGCAGGCCGATGGTAGGTCGGCGCCGGATCTCGCCATACGGCGGAGGAAAGATCGCCGCATCCTCCCGAGCAAAAAACATACAGTTCACTTACGGGACTAATGATCTTGGTAGTTGATGTGCTTGGAACCACTAAACAATCATAAATCAATCAAAACACTTCCGCTTTACGGGCGTTTCGAACCCACAACCCTAATGTTCATGTAATTGGGTTCACTGCTCCAAGTCCTCATCTCAATACGCCGAATCACTTGATCGCACCTTTTGTAAACGTGTTATTGTTATGAAATATGATAATAATTCGATAAAATACGAATGTTGAATAAACCATAATAAACACGTGTTTTTACCAAAACATAACTAGCGGTGCGGATTATCTGCGCCGCTCATATTCTTTGCTCCACGCGATAAGCTCCAGCCGTCATTGATTTGAAGGTGAATGCAAGCAGGGACTCGATTGTTGGACGCAATCGCCGGACGCTGCGCACTGCGCGCACGCGCGAGAGAGCTGCTTGAGAGTGGTCGGGGGAGTTGAATGCGGTGAAAGAGGGCACCTGATTTAATTTACAAAGTGTTTGGCTATCACAGAAGGAGTCGAGAGGAGTTACAAACTAGTTGCATGTACTATTAGATATCTATGCTTCTCCTGCATTGACGTTTCTAATGGCAAAGTTTCAATTACAAGATATTTCGTTACCAGACACCCGTGGCTTGGCTCGCAACTTAATATCAGCAGCAGGTGAGAAGCATACGATTTCAATGTGACTGCAATATTTAAATGTATGCGTAGTGCTCTTTTATAAATGTGAATTTCTTTTCATTCTTCCATGTCCGAAATCGCCAAGATTTTCAAATACATCGTCAGTGACTCATACAAAGTATACTATAAGCAGGACGCAAGTTTCCCATAAAACAATTGTTTCTCCAGGAAAGTTTGTTTTTTCACTACTTATACGAGTATTCCACTTACCGGAATTGTACTGCCACATTCCATTCCAAACCATTATTTGGCGTCCACTGCTCACACAGTTATTGGCTGAAAAATAAAACAATTAAAAATGACCTTTTTATGTAGAAAGTTCTTTACTGTGTTTTGCAAAACTGAATCTACGTATCTAAATGACTTTTAAACATTCGTCTACTTAGCAACAACGTCAATAAAGTTTATTTGGTATTAAAATCTATCAACATCGCAGTCAATAATAAACAATTTACTCAAAAATACAAAAATGTTGAATAGCATAATATTTACCTCATGAAATAGTTAAGTCAATGGTTTTTAGTACAATGCGGAGGCGGTTCATACTTAGGTTGCACGGTTGCACAACTTCAAGATAATCGAAAAAAATCTTATATGTTAGGATACATTTTCCTTTTAATGACATTAAATATTCAAGATATTGAAGAAATATTTGATCGTTTTTACTGTTTTTGACGATCAATAATAATAATAATAATAATAATAATAATAATAATAATAACAATAATAATAATAATAATAATAATAATCCCTGAGAAAGTAGAAAGAAGAAATGGGTGTTCCAGATCTCTAAGCAGCATTGAATCCAAAGAGGCAGCCCGGCGCATGGCGTCTTGGCCTCTCGACTATGACGACGCCACGAGCGTGGATCTCACCGGCGGCGTGCGGCGACGGCAAGCGGCGGCTGGGGATGGCCACCACGGCGCTGACGATGACCACGTTGCCGACTCCAACCACGTCGCCGACGCTGTCCACATCGCTGACGCTGTTCATGTTGCTGACGCCAACCACGTCGCCGACACTGACCACCTCACCGATGCTGACCACGTCGCCGGCACTGACCACGTCGCCGACGCTGACCACATCGCTGACGCTTACCACGTCGCCGATGCTGTCCACGTTGCCGACGCTGACCACGTCGCCGACGCTGACCACGTCGCCGACGCTGACCACGTCGCCGACGCCTACCACGTCACCGCCCCCGTCTCCGATGTGGAGGCGCAGAAGGCAAACGCGGACCATGACGGCGTCGTCAAGGATTTGCCTGTGGAAAACGACGAGGGCGACCACCAAAGCGTGAGTGATATGCGATTCAAACCATTCTCATCTCGAGGAGGGGACGGACGTGACGGCGTGAAAGTAAAGTGGTCAAATATTTAAATATTTCAACACTATTTGTACATTTATTTTATCGCACTTACTTCATAAGACGATAAACTATTATCAGAAAATGGTGAATTTTCGGCATAAAATCTGTTACTATCGGGCCCTGGTAACGAAAGAGCGGATGAAACTTCATGTTTATAGTAAATGACTTTCTCTAAAACGTTGCCAGTATCTATGTTTTGTGGGCCTTCCATGCCGAAAATTTGTTTGACGGCAAAACGTCTCTTTGCACTCACTCTATCCTTCCGTCCGTCTGTGATCAATGCTAGCACTTATATCGTTCACCCCATTTTCTACAAACCTGATATTCTCATATCCTTATCGAAGAACTCGAATCTTTGCAAGTTCAAAATGTTGTTGCAGGGTCGTTTGCCACAAGACATTGCAATAGGAATAAGGCGAGAAGTTTCCTGAGTCGCGTACTACAAAATAGGTGAACGCTTTATGATGCAATATTAATACTTATTATGGTATTTAGGAATACATATAAAGAACGCTGATGGTGGCTTTTCGTAATAACAATCATTACCAAAAATCGTCAAAAAGCAACAATATTAGTTAGTACTGTTTATAGTACATATAACATTTCACCAAATTGATGTCCTTGCTCTATCCATCTAACACTGTCGTGCTAATATAAAATAATGATACATAATAAAAATAAATAATAACATAAATAAATAATAGTATAAATACATAATAAATTTGGTAATAAATTAATATAAAATACAACCAATAGGAAATTGACTCTTTTTATGCAATGAATCTATTCAGAAAGAAGTGTGCTAATTGCCTATTGAGTTTTACATAACAAATACAATCCCAGATTTTTTCAAAGCTACGAAAAGAATGTTAAATGTGGCCTTTACTTATGCTTTTATAGAAAATATATTATATCATCGGTCTTCATGGATCCCGAGAATCTAACGAAGCTGTCTGTCTTAGGAACTCAACGCCGCGGTCAACTTCTACGCCGCCAAGAAGACTGTGGCCCAAGGCATGATGGACATCGCCCTTATCACCTCCAACGCGAACCAGATGCGCTACCTGCTGGAATTCGGATCTCCCAACGTCATCTACTACTTCAACCTCACCCTAGTTGTCATCTCACTCATACTCCAGGTGGGTGTCCTTACACTCACATGCACTACACTGCCGCTAATATCGGGAGACCGATCGGGAGCTTAGAGCTTGTCCCGACTGGGGCGGTGCCACGCTGGTGGGAGATACCTTGTTGGGAAAACATGCAAGTCGTCGGGTAGCCGGCGCCGGATCTCTCCATCCAGCGAGGAAAATCAACACTACCTTCCGCAATAAAAACTTGCACTACACTTGCGGGACGAATGGCCTTAGCAGTTGACGCACCTGGCATCAATCAATCAATCCAAATGTCTGTCTCCGTCTCCAAGCACAAACTCTTGACTACGTGAGGCGGAAGCGCTGTGAGATAAATAAGCCTCACTCACGCAGTGTTGAGATTCTGTTCGTGTAAGTTTGGCGAACACGTGCAAGTCAATGTATTGGTTATTCTGCGTGCTGTATATTTCTGTAGGTCTGATACGGTTACAGTTCTAGGAGGATTCTAAAATCCGGTTGCTCTGATCGGTAGTTTTTCGTGATTTCTCCGATCAACAACAGTCGAATTGCGGAGCAAAACCCTAAGAACTGGCCAAGGAACGCACGACATCGTATTTTCATCATAACTTCCCCTCGTGTCCCCTTACATATACATACACAACAACGCATGGCGGAGGGTCTCAGATCAGTCAAGAGCGTAGAGCTTTTGCCCAACTGAGGCGGTACCTCGCTGCCGGAAATAGGAGGAAGGAAAAACTCTGCAAGTCAACGTTTATGTCGGCAGGCGCCACATCTCACGTCCCGGCGAGGGGGACACCGCCACTTTCAGACTATAATATGCACTACACGTATGGGAATAAGTGTCGTAACATTTGTGTCCAGGATCATATATAAGTTAATTCAGGGATATCAAAACACCTTTTTATATCTGCAGTTAGGACTTTCATTCACTACACAACAGTTCAGCTTTTGTAAATTTGTAATTTTGTAAAACTAAAACGTGCCGCGTCCGATTGGTCTTTGGGTGAAAGCTTCCATTGAGAATGCGCTCTGCTGGGAATGGCGGGAATGCGCCTCCAACCGCCGCAGCAGCGCCACTGCGCATCTCGTGTAAAACCTCCATTTGAACGCTTTGCCAGCGGAAACGCTGCTAAGTGTAAATGAAGGGGGCTCCAACGTTTAGCGCGTCCGAATAGCCCAACATGCAGGATTCATTTTAGAACAGTGTGTGAAGGGGCTCTAACGAGTGCCGCGTCCAATTGACCTAGTAAGATGGCTTCCATTTAGAACTGCATTCTAGGGCGGGGGCGGTGCGCCCCTAACCACTGCAGCAGCGCCACTGACCCGGTCGTCTAAAACCTCCATTTCAACCAACGCTTTGCCAACAGAAATGCCGCTAAGTGTAATGAAGGTGGCTCCAACGTGTGGCGTGTCCGAGTGGCTTAGAATGAAGGCTTCCATTTAGAACTGCATTCTGGTGGCTGAGCCGGGAGTCGCTGTGCCACTCGTGAAAAACCTCCATTTGAACCAATGCTTTGCGAGCGGAAGCCCCGCTAAGGGGCTGTAACGTGTGGCTCCGTTTGTGCAGATCGCGGTGGGCACAGCGCTCATCTTCAAGGGGCGCGCCGACCTGCGCGCCGAGCACCCTGGCGACGCCGCCGTCGCCGCAGCCGCGCGCCTCGGAGCCAAGCGCCTGGACGACGCCATTGTCGTCGGCGTCTTCCTCATCACCATCATCAACGTCTTCATGGCCGCCTTCGCCATCGGCAGCAGCGCCGCGTCGGCCTCCTGACGGGGTGTTCTTCACTCCACTACGTCGCGTCTTCCACTTTGTTTATAACACTTGGATGTCTTCTAGCATGAATGGAAGACGTGTGCAGCCAATCATTTGTTCGGGTATTTCCAATGAGAGCTATCAAAGGGAGAGGTCGCTCACAGCATCAACTGATGTCACTGCAGTGCCTCTGAGCGGAAAGTACTAGGATCGAGTCCCGACGGTGACAGGGTTTTCGATATTAGATTCTCCACTAGATCAAATTAAGTCGCAGTCTGGAGGAGAATTGTAGTGGCCGGTTGCTCAGATTTGTGGTTTTACCATGATTTCTGCGATCAATCCCCGGGGAATGCCGGAACAGTACCCTAACAAAAGGGCGCGCGATCTTGGCTTCCTCTTCCTTGTCCAATTGCCTCACCCCTTACTTACACACACTTACACTTACACGTAATACATTACACATATGCCGAGAGACGGGTCAGGAGCTTAGGACTTGTCCGGGCTAGGGAGGTGCTCACTGGTGGGAGATACCCGGTTGGGGAAAACTCTATTAATCGAATTCAGGTCGGCTAAAGATATCGTCATTGAGCGGAGGAAGATCACAACCACCCCCTGAGGAAAACGTGCACTACATTTACGGGGCTAACGACCTTAGCAGGTGACGTGCATCACAAACAATCAATTAATAAATCAATATGAGCTACCGGTCGGAGTTTGTTTTCACAGAGATGAGCCATCGGATCGATGTGTATTGCCTTCATCGCTCTACTCTGAACTCATACATTTGCTCGCGCGAGTCACCTTTGAGGTTACGTGCGAGCGCGAAGACTGGTGACAGGCGGCGTTATAAATTCATCGAATTTCTGAGAACAGATCGTGCCCCTTCCTACTTTCTCTCACTTGCTCTGCAAAGAAAGTCCCGTCACCGCTCACGTGATTTCCCAACGCTGCTTTCGCAGCCCTCTCTCCATATCCCGTTTTGTTTCCTGAGCCATCGAGATTCATCCTTATCTCCGGCGAGGTTTGAGGGAGTTTGAATACTGATTTGATCGCTGCAAGGCCCTTTGCTGTGAATATTTAAAACGTCAAGTTTCTCCATATTGTTTTTCATGTAAATGTAAATATATCATACTAATTTATTATTTTATGTATTTATTTTAAGTTCCTTATTAACAACATGGCCTTTTGGACCATAGATATAATATTGTCAAAATAATGATATGCTTATTAACCATTTGTACTAATTGTCAAGTCAAGTTTATCCCTTGACAAATTAATGTAAATGCGAAGATTGCATTTTATTAACTGTGTTCTATACACTATTTGAGTAGCTCTTGTTATACAGTGTCCCAAATTAGCCAAAAAAGGCCTTTACACTTTTTTTGAAACCTGTTGTGAAGACATATGCAATTATTTCGTAGTACGACTCTCCATTATAATATTAACCAATTGTTTAAATATTTTTCTGACTGAAATTTCTAAATAGTTTTTCTGAGTAATAAGCAATTACTTTCACAAATGTTTCCTAATTCAGTCTCACATGCTGGTGTATTGGGGTTAGAGCAGAAGCAATGATGGTGTGCCATGATAGGAAGAAATATAAATCAGTGTGGTGTTAACCCCTTTGCGACACATTTTAATGCCTGAACAATTTATTTCAGAATCACCTAACATTCTGAAAATAATTGGACATGAGATCAACCGTAAAATGTGCGAAAGAATTATGAAATTAAACCTTCATCGGACGATAAACGCTCCGACTTTCCACTTCTCGCCTTACACGCGCCACCCCGAACATGGATTTTGCAATCTAGCGTTACCCAGCGACCACCGCTCGGTAATCGGCACCGTAAAGTAATCAACTTTTGACAAAACCATGACAGAATATTAGTGTCATTATTATTATTATTATTATTATTATTATTATTATTATTATTATTATTATTATTACAATTAATATTATTTAATCGTGTTTCTAAGTTTTCTCCCACTTGGACTGGGGCACATGAATTTGAATTTTTCTCTCATTGACAAGCAGAGAAAAAATTATTTTACGCCCATAAATGTGTAAAAATTATTAATGTCAGATACTTTTTTTTGTAATTTATGTTATGGATCTCAACGTCGATTTCTAATTTTAGAATTTGTTTCTTGTAACTTTACATGTACAGAAAATATAATATGCAATGTTGTTCTTTTTGTGTGGCTTACATTTTACAACCCAGTCCCAGCATACACCAATCTCGGCTTGTACTCAGTTGTTACACAATCCACAGGTAATCGTAAAATACTTTCATAATATGTCTTGTAATATTATATTATATTTATTGATATTTAATATCAATAGCGTCTGATATTCCAACAAACTGGTATTGCAGCACCATCAAATGACGGGAATGTAATTTCTAAAATTCAAAATATTAATGTATTCTTACATTACTAACACAATTTTATCCGTAGTCGGATACGTTAACCCCCCGTGCACTAGTTGTGGATTACATTTCCAGTGAGCACTTAAGTTTTTTATTATTAAGTTCTGCATTGGCCAAAATGTTAGTAATACACATTGAACAAAAAGTAGGTTTCGAAAATACTGTGATCGTATTCTTTTGTTTGGATAGGTTTTACAGTAGTTCATTTCGGCTGCTACTAGAAGTGCTACTTGTTATAATTATTTGCTGCTACTAGTTGTGAAAACAAAATAAATTTATTTTATTTCTCTCTATTGAAAGCAATATCTTGTGACACTCTGATACGCAGAAATGAATTTATACACTTGAGAGTCGAAAAACAGTATTAGTTTCAAAAGTGGTCAGTAATGGTAATTAGGATTTCTAACAGTTTGATGACTTCCCTGAATATTTCTTGTAACTTTCAGTCTTTAATAAATCGATACAAACTAAGACTGCCTGATATTCTCCTGGATTTCTTAGCATTGTCAATAGCTTCAAGCCTGAAATCGTCCAAAGAAGGAGTCACAAGTTATAACAATAAAATTTTATTCTGAAAAGGGTTTACAATGGCGCGTTTCCAAATCGGTACCATTCACTTTGCCAATGTTAAGAGTAGTGGAAAACCGAAGGTTCTACGACACGGGATAGAAACGCCGATTCGACACTCCCGGTGATATTCGAAACTCCGTTGTACCGAGGGGTATATCGTAGAGTCAGCATGTGATGATTGGCCGGCTTACTACGTGGTCTGGCGTGACGCGTGTGGTGACGTGGGTGTCGAAGAATCGTCGAGTGGTCCATGGGGGACGGTCTAGCGTGGTGACGTCACGCGCGTGATGGCGCAGCGTTGCGGAATTGGTGTGGGCCGTGACGTCATAGGTGATAGCGAGGCCCGTCCTGCATTTTGGAGGGAGTCGCAAGTCTCGTCCAATATGTTCTTATTAATTGTTGCCAAAACCTCACTTCCATCCATCTTCAGAACTCAACTAGTATTTGGATTTGGTTAGGCAACCCAGAATTTAAGAAAACGTACACATAATACCTTTCTTCTCTTAGTAGTGACAAACAGTTTTTAGCGGTTTTTGATGGTTAATAAGTAAACAAATAAACCTGAAAGCGAGTGGTGGGGGGATAACTAAAGGAGGAACAGTCCCTGCACTGTGGTGACATGAGTGAAACGTATGACAGAATTGTTGGCATGAATAATAATAATTATAATAATTTTAGTACAGAACAGCCATATCAGACAACACAGATACATACAATTACAAGATTTTTCTTGAGGAAGCATGCATGCATAAAGAACAAGTACATATCATTTTATAATTAATTCTTTTAAAAATTGTTGAATCCATGGTGGTGTCGTTTACTTCGGATGCTGGCATCGTCTTCTTTCATTTCCAGCTCTCAAGCCACTATATCATTTCTATCTTCTTCCCGCGCACACAAGTCACTAAGAGGTAGTTCTGAACTTCGTAGTTCTCGTAGTTCAAGAGGTAGTCGAGAACCTCGGTACGGCTAACCCTTGAGCATGTAATTGAATAACGAGATCTGTGTACCTTTTCGTTTCTTTCGTAGGCACTTCTCTGTTAATAGTGCATACGTAGTGCACCAACGGCGATGATGGCCTTAACAGTGGAGATAGCTTTCCACATCTTCACGGAACCTTCATCGCCTTCTTTTCCTTCCCTCACACCTTCCTTTGAGGCGGCTATAGCGAGATCCGCGTTGGCCAGGTGTTAAGAAAAGGGCGAACTTCTAACAGTTTCCAAAACATTTGACGAGAGAGTGAAACAATTGAATGGGAACATTATTTCCAACGAAGACAAACATCACATTTATTTTAGAAGACATTTCATTGGCTGAGCTGTAAAACGAAAACTGATAGTATGTTTTTCAATACATTACACAGAAAAATTAACAACCCCCAAGGTAACAAAAATGGCAAATTAAGTTAAACTGTTATAGACACTAAAAAACTTTTTGAGCTATTAACGTCATCGGCACAATAGTAGTCGAGGGGTAGAAACATTTACAAAGAATATCCAATTATTGTTAATTCCAATAATTCCTCTCGTCACGCCAGTTCACCTCAGTGCAGGCAGATATGGATGATTTTCCACCGCAGTTAAGCCTTAGTTCATCCCCACGCCAGGACGTGCCCCGCCAAGATGTCAGCCATTCCACCTCGCCGCTCTGCACTCACCAGTCTTCCGCCGGTAAGCAAGTCTCAGCCTCCTCTTCACCGCTAAGGGGAGGGGAGAGAGGGGGCGGCAGAAGGGGCCGGGGGTCGTGGCGCGGCTCTCTATCTCCCTGACGCTGTTCGAGGCAGGGGGCGACGGCTCCCTGGGTTATCTTTATCCTGGCGAGGCGGCGACAAATTAGGTGGCCTGGCGCAGCCAGCAGGAAATTCAGTTTTTTAGTTGGGTTTAGAAGTTAAGTGAGACGTGGGAAATTTATATTCGCGCCCCATACTCGATTTTAACACCATGGAGCGTCCAAACTGGGAAGAAATGTTAGCTCATAGCTATAGGGAGCGCCCAGCTCGGCGATAAATTTGTCGAG